AAATTTCCATCGAAGTTTACATATTATCAGAGGTTTTACAGCTTATTCCTACCTCTAGATATTCTAGCTCATCAGATCCGGTTCTGCTCCTGATTGTATTAGTATAAGATACGACAACAATCATGATCAGGACTTATAGCCATATCGAAGAGAAGAATAATTTAGCTTGGGCTTGAGAGACTGCCAATGCGTCAGATTTGACGTACTGGCAATATACACCAGATACATATGTTTTACGTGCTCATGGGGCCGCTATCTGTAAGTCGCAGTCTGACTTTACATATAATAGAAGCCATCTGTTGGTTACGAAATTCACATCTGATTGAAATTTTCTGGGGAAGGTCGATAAAATGCCTTTCATACTGACATAGCTCAACAGCACTGGGGCGCTGTCGTGGTTACGTTATACTTGGCTAGCATCTAGCATATAATAAGACAACCATAACAAACCGTCAAGAGGTGGTTCAAATTATAAACTCAAGAGAATCAGTTTAAAAATTTGTCGTCAAATATCTGTTCACAGCTTCGAAGCCGATAGTTGGGCAAAAGAGTGAAACATTTCTTGTCTAGATCGACTGTTTATAAGAGGTAAAACCTGTACACTGAAGTTCTAGAAATCTTTGACTTTTATTTGTGATTTAGATGAGGACTGTTGAAGGTCTCCTCGAAGTGAGGGGTTTTCCCTGATACGCCCGCAACCCCTAAGAAATTCACTGATCCTAGCTAAATTAAAAATATCGACGGTTTATCGGCGATATTAGTATCACAATAATAATAAAAAGCGATCAGATACAGCGCATCTACAAAATATATAGCCACAGTGAATATGCTACTACCTATTGCATTCATTTTCCTCGCTGTGGTGGTTTCTCTTGGAAAGCAGCAATAGTTGCCATCGCTCCACGTGTCACAGTGGCTTCGTAATTGACTCGTGCTTAGAAGTGGTGACAGTCGACTTTTATAAGTACCGGTGACGAGAGTGAACATTTTTATGAGTTAGAACACTTTTAGTAAATAGGTACTTCGATGAAGTTCCAATACATATAAATCTATTGAAAATAAATTAATATGTCGTAAATGAGCAATTTGATAATGGCGTTGATATGTAATCTCCTCCATCAAATCTATTTGCACGTCATTGTATCATACAAAGTTATAGTAGGTCAATGAATTTTATAAACTCGCCCACACATACTATGCCGGGCATGGGCGGGAAAGGCAGAGACATATTTCTGGGTGAGAGGACTAGAATCAGAGGCTATTACCGAATTGAGCACATCAAATACTTCAATGAAGTTCAAATACACAAATCTATTGGAAATAAATTATGTCGTAAATGAGCGATCTGATAATGACGTTAATATGTAGTCTCCTCCATCAAATTTATTTGCACGTCATTGTATCATACAAAGCTATAGTAGGTCAATGGATTTTACAAACTCGCCCACACATACAATGCCGGGCATTCCGGTCAGTCTAAAATATCAAGATCAAATGAGATAACACATTGGATTTTATTTGTATTTAAAATAATTTAATACAAGTTCTATTATCAATATTTCCAAAGTGTTCTAAATTCACTTTGATGGCTCCAATAGCCTGAGTATTTGGTATGACTCATTTACTTGGACCTATTTGAGACGATATTAGATGTAGGATATTATACACTAAATTTTATAATCTCTGAACTACTAATTACAGGTTTTGGTCTTCCCGTCAATCTCCAAAATCCGATAAGTCTTTTTAATTTTTTAACTTTTCTTCATATGTAACTTTATTTATATTAGCTAATGTATTAACTTGACTTACGTTCTCATGTCTATCTACAAATTAGACATGTGGTTATGAACACTTAGTACTTCTAATGAAAATTAACCAATAAAGAACAGCTAGAGGTACGTCCTGTGTGATCGAGGATATTAAGGCTCTTACCAAGAGGCAGTCCCGATCATTTTATACAAGCTACCACTGCTAAATCCTAACCGACTTAAATTGTATCTTAGTTTATATAATATAGTTTAAAAACATAGAAATATCCATCGAAGTTACAATTTTGCGAGAATTAAAATATAGATCTCATATAACCCCGTGAAGACTGTCTCCAGGTACATTGGCGGATACCTAGGAAAATACGGTTATAGTTTTAATATTCGTATCCTCTATCGAATTCTTGGTTTTATTTCGTCATTGGTTCAAGAGAAAAGGTTGCAGTATTGAGTTCTCGGCCTTTCATGTGCTTTGCTGAGTTGATAAGTTTCGGAGTGAGTGAGAGCCCTCGCCAATCTCTTTGAAATGGGTATAATTAAATAGGCTATAGCACGGTAACATACTTCGTTGGCTAGCTAGCTATCGCGCTAAGCGGCATGGCGGGGCATGTTAGGAAGCGATCTACCCCATCCGAACGGCAAAATATATGATTATTTGCTGCATATATAAGCCTGACCAGTGACAGACATACGCAAGTCAATACAGACACCCTATCTGTAGTAAATTCAGGAACCCATGTATGATTGTGTGGATGTGACTGTCAGAGGTTTGTAATTCCGCATTCGGGGGGGTTGTTTTATATATGGAACAAGGGGTTGAAATGTATTCACAATAAGTTTGACCCACAATACGTCAAGTATCGATGATATAATGCCAATAACAGATTTAGCAAAGCAAAATCCAGTACTGATGTACCTCACTACCTTGGGCTTGTAAGAATTGCTTTTTGTGAATGTATGGAATACTATTTAATAACAATTGACTCAATAGTACACACATCACGAAATACATTAAACAAACTGATATGTTTCGAAGACTCGGTTTCTCAAAATCTATTCGGGCACGATACTCAAATTTCTTTGACTGTTCACCTGTGACCAAGGTCTAGACTTTTTATATATAACAGCTATCATAGGTTTTCTTTTTTTTGTATGCGAGCTCACATGTTTTCTTTAATACAAGGAAATACGTTGGCGTCGTTAGTGTATGTTTAGATTGAAAGTCCAAATTTCGAAGCGAGTCTGATTTTGATACCAATCGCACCGTGACTTTCTATCATTTCTCTGTGTCGTACCTCAACAGAAATGGGTCAAACGTATTGACAGTTTTGAATCTTTGTTTCATAGTCTACAAGAGCGTCTTCGAAGTGCGAAATCTCGAAAAACACTTCAAATTGAGCCTTCCTGACCAAAGGCCAAGTCACAGGTGAAGCATGTGAATATATTTTAGATTAATCTATTCTCGATAAATATATTTTTCAGAAGGAGCATATACGAGCATATACAGCGAGATGTATAAGTTGGCGCTCGAGTGTAGCTTGATTTGAATCTACACCGAGCAGTGTGTGTTTTTTGTTAGAATGTAATATCCATGGTCGTGTCTTTGGCAAAGTGGTTATAGTGAGAAGTTCATTACGGGGTTGTTGCTTGAATAATTAGGGGGTTAACGAACAGTATAAATACATATCTAACTTCGGCTAACATTTCTCTTGTGTGAGTTTGGGTATAAACAAAGGAAACAATTAAATATATAAATTCTATATCCTTGATGCAAGCAAGGCTTTAAAGGCTTTAGCATTAAGTGCAATTAAAGCGATTATGGCGAGTGCTCGTGTCATGTACAAGCTACATATACCGAACACAGCCTCGTTTTTATTCCGAAGGGTAAAAATATTACTTACCGAATTAAAGTTTGAGTGCATGAGTAACGCCAGAATTTCGTTGACAGTTCACGTCACAAAGCCTACTGCGTAATTGACTATGCGGATGTTTCGTTGCCGGTACTACTTAATCAAATATAAAGATATACACGCATTTACTTTAATTAAGGTAAGATACAACAGGTACAGTTGTTTTTCTTCCTAAAATTTAGCACATAGTGCCGCATCGCCGATGTATTTGAGATATAGATACTAAGCTTAAGACTCGAAATTCGTAGCTGCGTTATTCCACAGCCTTCTGTTAATTTAGAAGTCTTTTGCTTGAGACGAGCAATTTGTCCATGAGATCCACACGGTACGGAACGCTGGAGGCCGCGTGCTCCAGACATGTATTTACCCATAGAATGTAACTGATTTCTCTCTTAACCTGAGTCGAGTAGCCTTATACAACCCCACTTTTAAAGAAGAACGGACGTATGTGAGACACATTCCAGAAGTAGCGCAAAATTTATTTGTATGGTTTGATACCAATATATTGAGTTGAAAGAGCCACACTCCCAAATAGTCGCCCTCTCACCAGGAGAGGAGGAGATGTCTTGGCCAGATGCCAATAGCACTTAGAGCAAAGGGGGCCTACAAGTATACATCCTAATACCAGATTATCACACTCAAAACGGCAGGGTCGCACTTCTCGAAGAGAAGCGAAAGGGGGACGGGCTCAAACATATGAACCGATAGACAAGTCAACTCAGGTTGGTTCTACGAGTGGCACACGACTCGCTACATCTGCGTATATTTCATATCTTTGATCTGTAGCACAACCAGGAGAATTGCAATGTTATAACCCCACCAGAATATGCACTTCGAAATTGGTTGTTAAGACCAAGTAGCCAGGCCTATCGTTGCCATTGCCGGTATATATGTGTCAGGTACTATGGGCATTTGTGATTTTGGATAGATATTGTCAGGTATAGGGTTCAGTTCCCAGCGACTATGAGATTCGGATAGAATTTTAGGCCTGCAATTGTATCATCGCGACACAGAAGCCCTGATCGCTCCCCTGTTAGCAACTGCTCCTGGGCTAGAGGAATGGCGATACCTCGGTGCTGTACGAAGACGGAAACCACAGACAAATAAACGGTCAAGTTAGTGCCCGAAAGTATACAGATTCGTACCACAACCACTCAATCTACGCCTGTTCGCGTGAACAACATGTAAATATGACCGATGGAATCCTCTACTGTGTACACAACATATCCCAAACGCATATGGCGTGGTTTGTGGGTGCTCCAAGATACACACCCAATCATCCAAAAATCTCCTGCACCCGTATCCATCGCTTTACCCCCCCCCCAAAAAAAATATACCTTAGACTCAGGTAGTCGCTGCAATATAATAAATCGCATCTCAAAAGAAAGAAAATACAAAAAAAAAGGTGTTTGTCTGAACGATACCTATCAGTGCACACACGTAGTTGAGCTTTCTAGCAAGCACACGTGAATTCACATTTATATGCTGCAGCTAGATGCCATGTCAAGTAGCGATTTATAGCTGATGTCCGCTATGCCTTGAGACACAGACACAAACAAAAGGAAGTACCACAAACGAATCGTACATAGCGTCGCAGGACAGAAAACAGCACTCGCGTGCCAAACCACTCAAAACCACTCACGAAACAACATATACATAGGGCGTATAGAATTACCTTAGCGTAGTCAGCCGGTGACATTACCACCCACTTCTTGTCCACCTTCAACGCGGGAGTATCGTAGAATATCTTGCGCAAGGTCTCAACAACGCCTTCGTCACTCTCAGTTTCAAGCTGTATAACAATGACACCTGCGTGCGCAACACATTTATGCATATTTGAGAAAAACTGAGTGAGCACTGTAAACTTTGTGTATTAAACGTCAGTAAGTTGGGATGTGTGAGATTGATTGGGACACTTTACACGTCCCCTAATTCGTTTCTTAATAAATTCTTGCATAAAATTTGCTGCTTTGACAAGGCAAAGAGCTGAAGTGCGCTGTACGTGCGTGTCTCGTCCCTACGAAGGCGTACGGCATAATACAGCAATACAGTAAAACAAATATGAAATGGGCTTATAACGTAGCAAATCAACGCAGGATACGTTTCAGACTACAGCCAAGCACAGCCCCATAAAACAGCACACATGCGTAACATATCTCTTTTAATGCTGAGGTCAGAGTTGGGGTCGTGTGATTATGAAATCCTAGAAAGGCCATATAAAAAACAATGATGGCATCAGTTTTGAACGGCCAGACCACACACTGGTATATTCCACGTGGTTAATCCTCACTATGACTGATATGTGTGCAAACAGTACTTCACATCGGCCTCTCACATCATTAAGCGGAGATATAGGAATGAGGTACGAACACATACCTGATGGAAAAGTTCTCATCACCAGTGGCAATCTCTGAGGCTTTAACGTACCACACGCCCTGAGCAGATCGTTCGGGGCAATGAGCTGTTGTAGTGCAGCCAAATAGGTGAGCAGATCAGCAATGCGACAGGCGAGGTTAATCAGTACAAATAAGAAGACGAAAAAAGACGAGTGCGGGCAACAGCAGAGCATTTGCGCGTGTGGGACAAGCAGAAAACGAGGGTCTACTAGCAGCCACCGCAAGGATATTGAATATAATCAAAATGACAAGCCACAAAGCCCCCTGCGAAACCCATCGAAACAAGTGTTGTACAGCAAATCGACTGCAGAGATAGCAAGACATGGCAGGGTGTAAAGCAACACATAAGCAGTTCAAAGATGTAATGATACAACTAAAGAGTTTCCGGACGGAACAGGCGCGAATAAGGCAGTGCCTGTGTGGTAGGACTGACAACAAACTGCGCGAATGTGCAGGAAACCAGCGACATCGAAAGAAGGCCGAGGAGGGGAGTGCCCGCAAGTAGCAATAGAGTACACGACAAGACACATGGATGTCAGTTGTCACTAGAACTGTATATTCGCTTAGCCTGCCAGATCAGCTGAACCGTACACGTGTCATAGCGAGGATGTACTATTTTATAGTCACTGCATCGTTCTGAAAACCAGATTAATTATGGAAAGAAGCCGATCAAATAACTGATAGGATACTATGAAAGAAGCAGTTTAGTATATGAGCTTGCTACAGCGCATAGTTTTCGGTTCACCATTTCGTCTACCGTTTTTTGAAGCACGGGCCAAATACCACAGAGCAATCCACAACAGAGATCTTTTACGGGAAAGGAGATAGCGCGGGTAGTTTCATATGTATAACTATACATAGCATATCTCAAATCACATACGAGTACACTGTGAGCACCAATATTAGACTTTGAGAGCATTATTCTGGGTATTTGCCATGCAGCGACACTTAACTACATACATACGCATACCTCAGATCCTCTCGCTCGATTATACAAGCAGTACACCGATGTCAAAGGGAGCGTGCCTCCTGAGTCTTTCAGGGGCTTTTTCAGAAAATCACACAGCTCCTTAGCAAGATCTTCGAAATACTTTAATTCGCCACTGGAGCTGCTTTTCGTGACCGGCTGCGCTATACCTAAACTCAGCATATATGATTTAAATTTCATATTATCATCATCACAGGGGGCTTTCTTCGCGAGTTTAACTTGGAGTTTCTGGATTGGGTGGAATAAGGGCAGTGATATGGAAGATATCAGTAACAAAAAAACAACAGCGTATCAAATGGGCGTGAAGGTTCACGGCCCAAAGCACACGGGGTTTTAAAATTCGAGGGATCGGATTGCATGATTTCCATGGGCCGAAATGAAGGCTGAACATATAGAACGGTCTTTTGTGATATACAAACTAAGAACAACACATTCTGATAAACACATAAGGACGATAAACACAAGGTTCGAGCCAAGTGGTAGGAAAATAAAAGAGAATGCAGCGTACAGGGCTGATTTATGCTTGGAGTTAGAGGAATAAGATTTCATTAATCTACAACGCAGAAGCTTCTATGGAATACCTGGGCCAGATCCACCATGCCGGACGCCTTTATAGACAAACTCTGCAGACTCTTGAATGTTTCGGCGAGATCGCCATCAACCTCCTTTCTCTCCTCTTCTCTGCGCTGCTGTATTCCCGCTATGCCCACACCCCGTCTGTGGGCGGGTACAAGCGTGTATATCGTTAGTTGGCAATGTTTGATGAAATTAATGACAAAAAAACATGACGTGTTGCCTTGTTTCAGGATCGATA